CCCTCTCCCTCCCAACTCAGCTGGACCTGGAATTTTTTCATTCCTCTCAGATCTCGCTTCACTGTGGATCGCGCTTCACCAGTGCTCTGTCGTTTACTCTTATGTCTACATGTGATGGTGCTCAACACTGAGAAAGCGAAACCTCGGTCTTCTCAATTTCTTACATTTATTGGAGAACCCAGGCCAAGCCCAGTACCATGACTGTGCTTGTTCGTTTGTGCTTAGTAGCTTACGCTTTCAGGCAGTGGTATAGGCGTAGGCCTGTGTTGCATCTTAGGCATAGACCGATGAACGATGGCCTTGGCTACCAGAGTTTGGTTCGTTGACACTACCCGCCACCTCTGGTTCCATGGAGTTTCTGCGCGCCCTGCCCATGCCATCGGTCGAATTCATAGAGGTTTAGGCCGAGTCAAAGCGTTGAATCTTTATCTTTTAAAATAAAATAAATTACTATTACTATTTAATTTTTTTTTTCCTTTACGCCAAGACCTAAGATCAATACGAATACCATATAGGAAGGAATTTTAACGAAGGAAGTATTACCGTTTTTCATGCGAGTCAGAAAGATTTTCAGTTGACTTGGACACTTTTGCATGGGATGCTCTTCATGCTCAAGTGTCAGACTCGGGTGAAAAACACTGCAGTGGCTTTCATTTGGGTCCGATAACATTTTCCTACTTTACCCCAACACCCACACATGGGAAGCGCCATAATAGGGTGTCACTTGGGGGTGAAAAATTCCCTAAGCCAAGCTTGGCCTCATAGACCAAACAGAAGGAAGCAGAGGATGCTTGGTAGCTTGGTTGCTAGCTGGATGCAGAGGTGTTTCATAGTCTAACCTATATTGCAAAGGCCTAGGTCTATGTAATATTGGCTAGGCCTTCTGGAGGTTGAGAGGGCTTGGTGATAGCAAAGTGTTCCCAACTATCCTGAATAGAATGCTGGAATCTCAGCCATGTTGCACTACGAGGTTGAGGAATAGGTATATCACTCTGTATATCACATATACAGAGTGTTCCAATAGCCACTCTACAGTGGAATTTAATTATTATGTAGCATTTATTTTTGAATGTACTGTCTGTCACACTTGAGTTATCAAAGGCATAAAATACCACTCATCTCATCAACAAATACCACAGACCCATAAGTACATAATTTATTGCTAATATTTCCTATCTGTAGTAAAGTGAATCATATCACACCATGAATTCCACTGCATGGTGACTTTTGGAAGATTTTTTATAATGAAAAATGAAGTGGTATTAGGGCTACTCAGAAAAAAAAGGATTTGAACAGGAATTTTTTGTATCATGAGTTTTAATAGTGACAGTCAAAATTAAGCAACTGGGATTACTGTTTCAGTTTCATTTCTTCCTTGCCATGTACCCTTGGTAATTTGTATAATTTTTAGCATCACCTGAATTTAATGCTGTACAATTTCCATTTGTTCATTTTAGCCTTAAATTCTGGCATTCTTCTACTATTCACCTTCATCATCTGGTTCATCCAAATCATTATTCTCACTTGAACAATTAAAAAGCGATTCTTGAACTTCTGGAAGCCTTTTATGTTGCTGCTGCCCTTCTTCATCCAAGAATAGGTTAAGCTTGAAGGTGAATATTGTAAAATAATGAATGGCATCATATTTCAACAAAATCTTACATGACTGCTTTGAACCTACAAGTTTTTTTTAAATATAAACTTAAGCTTTTATAAACTTTATGTTCTCCTACATCATGTTTACTTCCTTCAGGCACTGTTCTATGAAGCTTCATCAAGATAATCTCTGCATTGGATTTCACAGATGCACCAATGAATCCTTGATGAAATGGTTTGAATGCTGCATAATGAAGCCTGCTGCTTTCTTTTCAATGTTTCATCCTTACCTGATGCAGATAAAGGACTTCTATTGAATAAATTTTGTCCTTCAGGATGGGATCAGATAGGCAGCTTGAGGTTGTCTTTTGTAAGCACTTAATGTGTCTAAGTTGGCTGCTGAAGTAGGGAAGGTTGCCCATGTTGCTGACCAAAAGAGGATGAAGAAAGGATTAGGTTTATGTGGGGACAGTGAGAAGGATCAGTCAAGCAGGTTGTGAAACAAAGAAGCAATTAAATTATTTGGTATTTCAAGTGAAGTGAATTGCACAATGAGTATAATGTGGCAGTCTAATTTGCCTAGAAGTTGTACAAATATAGGTAGATGAGAATGTAGGAAAAAAGTTCAGTAAGAAAGGAGTACTCTTCATTGTACAGATATTGATGCCACACCATCTATATTTATACCAGATTTTAGCTATCACATTTATTAACTCTTTGACAGTTGCTGGTGCAATACCTATGCTGAGAATGTAAAACATGTAAGTTTGTTTTAAATATTCCTATGGCTTAACTCAAGAAGGTTTTCTGAAAGTTTCAATAAGATATTAACATAGAGAACTTAATTATTTTTTAAAAGTTGATGCAAATTTCTAGTATTTTAAAGGAAAATGCTTGACCATCAATATAGGAATAAATACATGTAAAATGCTCAACTGTCAAAATATTAATATATGAAATGAAGATTTCAACCACATTGTGTGGATACATGTGTGCAATTAGCTTTGAGTCACATCTAGACCTTTCAAATTGGCAAGTGACAGCAAGGAGAGCATGAAAGACTCCTCTGCCCTGGATTATTAAATTCTGAATCATAGGTAATAGATTCTGTTCAATCAATTCAACCAAAATACAAGCAGTGATAATCATAATTTATTTTCAAATGCTTTTCAAAGCAGACACTTTTGGTGCCTCATTGCATTTTGATATGATTCTACTTTTTGGAACCTGCTTTAAGCCTGGCAATGTTCATCATTTGAGGTGTGATTTTGTGATCTAGACTGATTGTATTTAGTTAATGTGATGGTATAAGGGAAGATATAACTCTCAATGTAAAAATCCAGACCTTGTGCTTGTAACTTACCAAGTTATAAAGTGATACAGGAGAGGAAATAGTGATTCTAAATATAATTTTTTATGGACCTATCATCAAATCATAAAGCTGATTTTTCTGAAGTTGTGTCTAGCACAACCCAATACCTGAAGGAAAAGGAGGTGATTTTCGCCATGGAATCTGAATAAGATATGATTTACCTCATTCCTACTATTTCATCATACTGAGTAGTGGGCATGATCCCTACTCAGCATGGACACTCATATTTAGCAAACTTTATTAGTTTGATTTATGTCACCAGAACTTCTACATTGTTGTCCCAATGTCAACTTGGTTTTTAAGTTTTTTTAATTTATTATTAAAATAGAGTAATATGGTTACGTTCAAGTGAAAGACAGCCAGTTATCTTTAAGACCTATGTCCAGAATTGTCTGATCATGTCCATTGACATCATGGGTGCTTAATGGTACAGTTCAACATATACAGGGTGTCCATAAAATCACTTCCCTATTTCAAAAGGCCCTGTCTCCATTGCAGAGCAGCCTAGAAACTTCATATTCGGCACAGATTATGTACAGCCAATGGGATTTATGATAGCCAAGTTGCCACATTTTTCCAAAAAGTTTATGGATATCACCATCAGGGCAATGCTGTAATGACCAGAGACACTGGTCCCTCCACACTTTGGGAGACACATTCAGTCTCTTCTCCAACATACGTTCCAGGACTGTGTGATCAGCAGGGCTTTCCCACAGGCATAGCCACACATCACAGGATCTTATACCTGTGAACTTCTGGCTGTCAGGTTTACAGTGCGGTTACCCTGCGAACTTAGTGGAGCTCAAGGAATGCATAGTGGCGCCCTGCTGCACCAGATTCTGACATTATTGTCTGACTAATTATGTTCTATCGTCTTCATTACATGGATGGAGGCGGTGGTAGTGGCAGGGGGTGGCCACATCGAATACCTGCAGGTTTGGTTGTGCCATCCATGCAGATATTGGTATGAGTGCCGACTTTGGACTGTGTGCTTGGCTGTTTGTGTATAGCACCACCCAGGCGGTGATTTCCAGAAACTTTTTGGAAACTTGGCCATCATAAATCCCATTGACTAAACATCATCTGGGCCAAATATGAAGTTTCTAGGCCACTCCATAATGGAGATAGGGCCTTTTGAAATAGGGAAGTAACTTTATGGACACCCTGTAATATGATATGTTCTTATGCTAAACCCAATTTATGCACAAGGTTGAGTTTCAGGTCAAAAACTGAGAAATGAAATGAATGGCAAAAGCATGTAGCAGTTACTTTTCAAAATAGTGAGCCATACTTGGTCGGTGCATGGACTACTCATTAAAGAGTCTGCAGGAGCTTATGGAAAACCAAAGACCACCACTCCCATGGTGGTGTTGTGGTGTTACATAGATGTCAAGAGACCCTTGTATGGGTTTTCATTCAAATAAATTCCAGGAAAAGGCTGATAGTAAAACTAGTTTTTAGCTCTTAAGCCCTGACTTCATGCACCAATTGGATTCAGCCATTGAACATTTTTGTTCTACAAGTCAGGGTCATTCAATGACACCTGTGGACATAATTTGGCATGCTGCTGTAGGGTTTAGGCATACTCTTATATACAGTTGCATACAATCTGTCAGCTTTTGTGAAAACATGCTTGGGATGAAAAATTGGTACAATGTAAAGATCACATTACTGACAAAATTATTCACGATCAAATTTTCTTCTTTTGAACTTATCAGATGCACCTTCAACGACACCATTTAGTACCCATCTAATGCACAGAAGATACTTCCACTTGCCTAGGGTTCTGTTGTACCAGTGTAGCCCTTGAATGAGTATCTTTGTGTTCTTACAGATCCATGTGATTGTTTCCATGTTTTATTTAGAAAGTTATGCATAACTTATTATTAAAGAAAACTTTAGAACGACAGGCACAAGTGGTCGGAGTGTTGAGCTGGGGTTGTATTTAACTGTACCTTGATCCTACTGAGGCTGATTGTGCCTCCACCATAAATCAAGTGATATCCTAGTCTAAACTACTCTTGGTCAAGTGATGACTAGCCTCAAGCTTTGCATACAAGATGCCTCCACTAATGGTGTGGGTCAACCAAGAATCCTCACTCTCAAGAATGTAAGGTTGCTCCATTCATTGAAAAAGTTATCTCTCAGGAATGGATAATTGTATAGTTTTCTGTACAGCAGAGTAAGCACAATTAGGTCAAGATAGGCTTAGGATAGAATGAGTTCTTCAATTTACAATGAAAAATTTACAGATCCAAGTCTGTGGCTTGTGTTGCTTCTGTGTACACATAAATGCTCATTTATCTTGCCTCCAAGTATGATATGGGGCAAAATACCACTCATTCTCAATTAATTAAAATTGAGAATGAGTGGTATTTTTCAGTGCAGATAAGTTTTCATGACAGAAGTTGAACATGACATGAACAGACTTTTGTTCATACATTCACCCTAATTTGATTGTGCTCGGTATTCATGGTAAAAGCCCTAAGAAAACTATATAGCTCCTGCTAGTTTTTGAGGTAGGTATAGCTCCTGCTAGTTTTTGAGTCATGGCAACCTTCATGGAGCCAGACTGACAGTAGTTCAAGCACATTTTGTTCCATCTTTTAACCCTTTGTGGTCCATTGATGGACCTAGTCCAATAATCTCCATAGCATTACAAATAAAATGGACTGGAAAGGGTTAAAGAATCATACATTTGTTGTACTTTTAGTCCTGACAAGCAAGCATTCTTGACTCTTGATCAAATACGCCATTTATTATTTTTTGCCTCTTAGTTTCCATATTGAAATTATGTGTGCTGTTTCTTTCTGCCCCCAGGCTACAATCCTCAACTCCAATGCGCAGCTCATTCAGGCGATCTCTGTCCGGACTCCTCGGACCATATCTCAGGCCACCAATTCCAGTGAGTTTCTATCCTGGCTGAGTCTGCAAAATTTTTACCTGATATACTTTTTTTTTCTATTTCCATACCTTTTTGGATTATCTTTCTTCTTGCATCAGTTTACTGCTCCCAACCAATGACTCCATATAATCTGTTGATGCACTTGCCATTTAACCTGTTCTGTAATGGTAGACCATTTCCCCCTCAATGGCTATTATTGGTATGTTATTTTTCTAAGCAGCTCTGCTGACACTTCCAGCTTCCTATGGCATGATGTTTATGCTGGCCTGTTCAGCACTCTCAAAGTTTGCTGGGTTCTGCCGGCAGCTGCTTGCTTGAGAGTGATGTCATTTGATGATGTTGTCGTGTCAAGTGCTGATGGGAATAGATGTAATTTTTTGCCACCAGCTATAAGTAGCTGGAGAAAAAGACACTCCTCATTTGTTGTTCATTTTTCCCTTCCTTCTTTCCTGCAGAAGCCAGTCAGATGATAGCTATCCCAATAGCCTCCACATCTGGTGGTGTGACGACTGCCACACCCCTGGGCATTGTGTCTCCAGCAAGGCCAACAGTGTTGGGCAGTGGGAAGACAGTGGAACAGATCATTGTTGGGGGTCGTACCTACAATCTCCAACAACCCTCCTCACCTATTGTAAGTCTCATTCATAACCCCATCATTCCCAAAGGTTTCACCAGGAACCGATGGGTTCAATAAATTTTCTTACTTCACTTATGAATGATCCTTGAATAAGGGCCACTACCATATCAACTCTACCGCAGCAGTATAAGCTCTCTTATGTTTTGTTTTTTAATGTGTCAATATTGTCTCTGTATGCATCTTGAGCAGGTAGTTTGGAACTTGAATTTTTTTCTTCTTAATTTGAAGAGAGGAATTTTTTTACATTTATTTTCCCTAGTATTGGGTTGGAAAGAAAGTCTTGCAACACTTTCTAAAACTATTTATAAAAATATTCAAAGTTTTGATGGGTGGGGCTTTGCATTTGTATATGCTGGAATGTTAATTGTAGACTGAAATTGCATTTCAATAAAGTTATAAAATTTTGACAAATTTGCATAGAGTGTTGCAAGACTTTCTTTCCAACCCAATACTTTACCTGGGTTGTTCAAAGCTAGATTTTAGCCCTTTCACTGTTGTAAAAAAAAAATCTGTCATCCCATGTGTTATAAAAAGTGGTACTGCTTGCTTGAAAACATAGTTTATGCAAGAAAATGTCATAACATGGTAACTGGGAGATAGCAGTTACATGCATAAATAGTTGTGAAATAACATAAAACAGTGAATGGTCTTAGCCTGAGAACATACCCAGGCTACTGCTACACAAGTCCAGATATGTACTTGGGCAAACAGCCAAAAGGTTAAAGAGTAGCTTTGAGATCTTGAGAAGCATGAAGCATTGAACTATTTGTAGAACTTATTATTTTAACTTAAATTATTTTATTGCTGTAATTTTCAAAATAATTTCAATGTTTATTTAGTCAAATTATTTTTTGCATGTAGTGGAAGGTAATTGTGCATTATCAGGACAGTCACTATATTGAGGCAAATTGACATTGAATCAAGGTGTCCCATTAAAGTGGAACTCACTGTATGTGATTTCTAACCCTTATTACAGGGCTTGCCAACTTCTCAATTTTTGTTAAAATTCTTAAACTCTTAACTGATGGAAACTGTTCAGTTACCTGACAGTTAACTGAAGCTCCATATGTTACTTGCAATGATGGGGGAAATTCTCCTGGAAAGATAAGAAAGAAGGGGAGGAGACAAAAGTTCTTCCTTTTTTAATGCTATCCCTCCTTTGATTTCTTTACCATATTTCATCATTACTGTCCTAGTATGTAACACTACATTTATTTTTGTCAATACCAAATGCCTACAATAATGTAGATCCTTTTCTTGCCTAATTTCCTTTTTAAATTTTATTACACAGATAATCAAGTCACAGCCAGCACTGATTCAGCAGCCCCAGCAGCAGCATTTGACCACCCCATCTCGACTGGTGATTCATCAAGCACATCAGACGCCTCAGCAGCAACTGGGAAAGCTTCAGTTGCATCATCCTCAAGGGGGTGCTACTCTTTCACCTTCAGTTGGAGAAGTGCCTCAATCGACTCCAGCACCCACACCTCGTAGCACATCCAAAGCCTCATATATCACCCCTATCCTTGATCGATCTGGATCGCGCAAGCGACTGGAACTGGAGGATGAGCGTAGTGAGGACCTTGATCAGTGAGTATTGAATGTTTTTTAATCCCCATTATTATTTCTTTTGTTGAGGACTATTTATATCCTTTATGAAGATAATCTTCCATAGAGCCAGGATAGATTTTATTTTTATTTTCCCAAGATTTAGAAATGTTTTAATATTTTAACAGAATTTATTTACTTTAATATTTTTTATTGTTGAAGATATGGCTAAAGGTTGTTTGTCCACTTATGAAAATTGGAAGAATAAGAATTAGCAGTTTTTCAGACTGAAAAGCAGTAGAAGAATGTTGGCCTTTTGATTAGAGAGTTGAGAATATTGTTGAGACTTGGATGAGCTAATCATTCGTATATTCCATTTTTCCTTGCCATGTGTTCATTTTACTTGAAAATATAAAGGAAAGGATTATGTGTCTTTAGAATCTACATCTGCATTTTTTTAAATTAAGTTTAAAGAGCAACACTTTGAATATTTACTGTTTTTCTTTATTCAGAGAAAAAAATGATGACCCCATTATTGTAGGAATGAAATAGTGCGGATTGCTTTTCCAGGAAGCGACGGCGTACAGCAGCTGAAAAGACGAGCAAAGGCTTGCGTCACTTCTCTATGAAGGTGTGTGAAAAGGTGCAGCGGAAGATGGTCACTACGTACAATGAGGTAGCTGATGAGCTAGTCTCAGAACTCTCCAGCTCCCGCCTTGCATCTCCCATTGATTCTGTAAGTTCTCAGCCAGATTGCAGACAAATACACTTGGATTGCTAATGAAATTAGGTTAGAGATTGACATGAACTTAGTTCAACAGGTAGGGTTTACTATTTTGTGGCTGCTGCATAGGTGCCTATATGATGTAAATGAAGTGAATCTCTGATAAAATTTGGACGAGAGCTTACTTTTTATGTTCATCAGCAATATGATCAGAAGAACATCCGTCGGAGGGTGTATGACGCATTGAATGTGTTGATGGCAATGGGGATCATCACAAAGGAGAGGAAAGAGATAAGGTGGCAGGGTCTCCCCACCAACACAGCCCAGGAATGCCAGACCTTGAGACAGGAGATCAAACGACGCCAAGACCGCATCCGCATCAAAAAGTCTCGTCTTCAAGAGCTTCTGTTTCAGGTGAGATCTTCTGTGAAAGGAATATTTTCCTTCTTTCTTTTTGTTCTTGGTAGCCAAGTTTTCACCTGTAATTGCTCTATTGCCCTAATTTGCCTGCTTTTCTGAACCTACAATTTTGTTGCTGCCTTGGCATCTACAGTGTTCAGTCAAGGAATGTCAAGACTGAAGAAGTAAAGAATAAGTACCGTATTTACTCCAGTATAGTGCGCCACCGTGTATAAGACGCACCCCCGCTTTTGAGGTCCCAATTTGTGTAAAAAAAAGATTCCCCGTGTATAAGGCGCACCCCCCTATTTCGTAGCAAAAAGTGTCTGACAAGGGAGATGAATAAGGGGTAAAGCCTGTTTGAGGTAGGTCGAACCTCGTTTCTTATTCACTGTCCTGACCTTTATCGAAGGGGGGGGCACAGTATCCCTAACGTTTGTTTTAATATCCGTGAAAACGGATGGAAATATACAGCGAAATAACACAGCTGCAGAGAAATCCATGTGATTCAGGAAGCGAAGGAGCTGGGCATCCGTGCAATAGGTCATAAGTATGACACCGAGGAAAGTTGTATACAGAAGCGGATGGAGGCGAAGGCGAAATTAGCTGGGCATCCGTGCAATAGGTCATAAGTATGACATCGAGGAAAGTTGTATACGGAAGCGCATGGAGGCGAAGGCGAAATTAAGCCCGGCTCTAAAGAATCTCATGGCCTTTCGTGGGGAAAAAGGAATCATTTCCGGTAATCAAGAAGGGAGTGACCGAGAGTGATGGAGACGCGAACCCATACGATTTCGAGAGCAAACGGGATCTCCCATAGAAAATTCAATGCATCATGAGGTTGAACTACGCAATTCATAAGCAAGTTGGATTTTCTGTTCGTTGGAAAACATCAGCAGCTTTCCATGAGAAATTATTGTCTCTAGAACGGCCCTTCGGAGGAGGATGTGAGCTCCGTGAATCAATTTTCCACGCCGCCAGACACCTCAGATGCTGATTCCGATACCGAATGAAGTCCGCGAATCAACGTAGCCACTCCCTGTTTACTATTTTATATTTATTATACTTCACCTGTTCTGACTGACTGCAGACAGTTTCCGCCTCAAATTAGTGATCAGTGAGTTATAGGTACGCTGAAAATTTTTTTTCTCGAAAAAGAAAATTTTTTCCTCAAGTATAAGACGCACCCCCTCATCGAACACAATAAAGTATGCAAAAAAAATGCACCTTATACACGAGTAAATATTGAAGTGAGAAGAAAAAGTATTGTTATTTTCCATTTCATGTTGCTCAAAGGTTAAAGTTGACCCCCTCAAGAAAAACCCCTCATTATTTTAAGAATTGAATGGAGTCCCTACTCATTGAGAGAACCCCCCCAAAAATCTTATAATTCCAAGAAAATGCATGCAAGGTTTGGCATTGTTTCAAATGATTTGGGCATGGCTGTTTTCATTTGAGTTATATTCTTGCAACCAATTCACACTTGGAAGAAACTGAACATCAGAATGGACCTAATAGGGAAGATACAAGAAGTATCCTACTATCATGCTATGTTTAGTTAGATTCCTATAAAGTCTTTATTACTCCCTTCATTTATTACCCCTTTGTAATGATAGGTCTGATTTTTTTCTATCAATTGGGGAATGTGTGATTGGTTTTTTCTTGGACATGTTTATTTCAGCAAATAGCATTGAAGAACCTGTGTGAGCGGAACCGGGAGACCGAGCGGTTGCAGGGTGGTCCACCCCCATCTAATACCATCATATCAACCCCATTTGTGGTTGTTTTGGCTGAAAAGACCACTGAAATTGACTGCCGCATCTCATATGACAAGTATTCCCTCTTTCCCTCCTGTTATTTCACTCCTCTTGTTGGATCTATTCCATTGATTAATTCTTTTTTCTTCCAGAATGGAATACCTGTTTATGTTCAACGATCTGTTTGTTGTCAATGATGACATTGAAGTGCTCAAACGCATGGGCATGACTATGGGTCTGTTTGATTTTGCTGCAAACTGTGTCTCTATGCTTCATATGCTTGGGACTACATTTGATTTTTGGGATCAATAATTACTAGGGCTGGAGTCTGGGTCATGCACTGAGGACAACTTGAGGAAAGCCTGCTCCATGGTTCCCAAAGCTCTTGAGCCTTATCTCTTAGGTGAGTCTCATCCCATCATTAGTTATTCTTCTATCTTCAGGTGGACATCATTGAACTATTTGTATTTTAAGCATTCCAGACAGTTTTTGCATTCAACCTGAAGAGTGAACTCGAATTGGGACTTCTTTGGGTCATGCCTTATGAAAAGAGGTCTTACACTCCCATGAATTGAGTTAGTTTTTCAAAGGTTTCACTTTTGAAAACAAAATTAAATTAACTTGTGGTTCTTTCATTAACTTATTAACATTAACTCCTCAGTAGCTCAAGCTAACTAGGACTGTTATGTTGGTAATTTCAAGCACATTGACCTGACCTTGTTGGTTCATCAGTAGAATACAGGGTGTCTGAGGAAGGTCTGAAATAAAATAAAATTCATCTCTCTGGAATAAAGTGATATATTTCCAAAAATTTGCAACAAATGGTAGGTACATTCATTAAGTTTTTTGGGGAGTTAATTTAACTCAATGTGCACACCTTTTTAGTTCAGCACACATCCAATTGATACTTCATCTTGTGCCAAGTGTTTTTCACCAAGTCAGGGGTGACAGTGTTAACTGCAGCAATAGTTCTGTCCTGTAAAAGTGCCAAATTGTCAATCTTAACCTGATAAGGCAATGTCTTTCACATAACTCAGTGGGAAAAGGTCTAGTGGGGTTAAGTCAGGTGCCTGTGGGGAGGGCAGGTAATGGCTCCACCTTTACCAATCCAACAGTTTGTGAAATCCTGATCCAGAGACTCAAACACATTGCAGCCAAAGCGTGGGGCCATCTTGTTGGATGATTGTGTTATCAGGCAGATGTGGGATTTTAAAGTTTTCTAACATGTCCTGATAGGAAGTCGATTCATCATATCTGCTGTATCAGGGGGAGAGAAGGCCCACATGCGATTCTAAAGCATAAGTGAGACACCCCAAGTCTGTATGTGTGGTGTGGTGTTATGAATGATAGAGTGATTGAACTGTTCCTTTTTGCTGAACCAATTGTGAATGTCACTACAAATCAAGACATGTTAGAAAACTTTGCACTCCTACAGTTGCCTGATGACACAATCTTCCATCAATATGGAGTGCCCCCATGCTTTAGCAGTGATGTACATGCATCTCTGGATCAGGATTTTACAAACTGTTGGATTGGAAGAGATGAACCCATTACCTGTCCCCCACAGTCACCTGACTTAACTCCACTATACTTTTTCATTTGGGGTTATGTGAAAGACATTGCTTATCAGGTTAAGACTGTCAATATGGCACTCTTATGTGACAGTATTGTTGCCACAGTTAACACCATTACTCCTGACATGGTGACGAACATGGTGCAAGGACATAGAAGCAATTGACTATCAATAACTTTGAGGAAGGTGAGGCTCAGGGTTAAGGTTTCGGTTGACCACAGGCAGAATGCTGAGTGTCACTTGCTCCCCTCCCCTGCTTGTACAATATTGGGGGAGTGGCAGAAAGGGAAAGATGGTACTTTAGTGATATTGGAGAAACAGGTGACACTCTTTGAAATCTTGTTATTTAAGTCCTAAGTCAAGATAACTGAGTGAAACACTACTGGTAATGTCATGGGAGAGCATAAATTTAACCATATTGATGCTGGCTGAGGAACTTGAAAGAAATTATATACTGCCAAGTAAGATGTTTGAGTACATGGCTTTCCTCCTTGTCATTTAGAATTCTTATTCAGTTTCTTTTCTAATGTAGTACTTTTTTCCCCTTCCTGGTGCTTTATGATTAAAAAATATATATGTTGATTGCAGACCAGTGATAACTTTTTGTGAAGCTCATGTTGCAGGTGAAAATTTCATTTTCCAGACTTGGGTATCTAAAACATTTAATAGATCTGAAACATTTGTCAAGACTAATTGGAATCTGAACCCCTGTGAGAGTGCAATATGTACTAGTGAAATAAGAAAGGGAGCATCAGTCTTTCTCAGGTGTCCAGAGACATAATTGCAGCATCAGCTGGAACAAAGAAGTGAAGTGTCCATTCTTTGTGGTCACTGTTGGAAAGAGAAAGATGCACACTGTTCTTTAGGAACTTCAGAACCAGGGATTCAAGCCTTTTCATGTCATCAAGAAGCCCATGATTTCAACTCTTAAACTTGGAAAACAGGTTGTACAGGGTGGGCAAAAAGAAAGGGCACTCTTTTCAACATCCATTTTAGGTGTGATGCTGTCAAAAATATATTTTCTGTTTACATGTAATGGAAAAAGAAAGACTCAGCTACAAATTGCTTTTTTTTCAGACTTTAAATGTCTTAAAGGATGACTTAGAAAAAAATTATTAAATTTCAGTTATAAAAAATCGCAGTTGCATTCATCAACCGCATGCAGTGGTAGGCACATCCAATCATCCTTGCAATGTCTGCTGATGTCAGCATTTCTCTTCCCCTTCCCTTGTATATCAGGGTGTCGAGTGGATGTTGGGTTGAGTTAGTGAGTGCAATGCCGATTTTTTGTAACCAAAATTAAATAATTTTTTCCTAAGTCACCCTTCAACTAATTTCAAGTCTGAAAAAGCCTTTTTCAGCTAAGTCTTCTTTCCATTACATGTAACTGGAAAAAATATCCTTGAAAGCATCATACCTAAAATGAGCATTGAAAAGAGTGCCCCTTTTTTGGGCTACCCTGTAGTTTTGTGTTTTCTTCTCTAAATGGAATGAAGAGGATTTCATTCATATTGGTCCCTCAGATGAATTTTTCATTTTGACTGTGTACCACCCACACTATCAGAATGACCAAGTTTGAGTCAAAGAAATCACTAAACCACAACCTGTCTTTCAAGTTTAGGGCTGAAATCATGGCCTGTCATAAGGCATCTAGAAGTGAATAAAATGCTTCATTAGAAAAAAAGTAATGAATGAGAATTCCAAGCCCAAAATGCACAAACCTCATTTAGGGGGGATAAAGAGGCCTTAAAGCTAAAGAGCTTTCCTCCCCCCCATAGGAGTCTATGTATTCATAAAGGACTGTTGACTAAAAGAGGTTCCAGCATTCGGACCTAAATATGCAGTATATGTTGCCTTCCTTCCCCTTCATCATAGTTTTCTCTGGAGAGGGGGGTGCACCTATCTGAGGCACCCTGTATACAAGTACACAGTGTAAGTCTTGGAAATATGCCTTAGATGGCTTTTCAGTGAACATTATTTCCTTTTTTGCATCAATTTCTTGCCCACAAGTAGCAAAAGAAACCAAGTCATCAGCAAGCAGGCGATGTGCCTTTACACATGACCATACAAAGTGCTTCAGTTGGTTACCAGTTCCATCTATGGTCCACCCATGCCATGGGTAACTAGTCTAGTATTCCAAGCAAATTAAGTTGTAACCCAAGTTGTACCCTATTTGACATGCATGTTTGAATAGACCAATTGGCATTTTTTTAAAAATGGTATAGGAACCTTCTGGCCTAAAATCAGTCATTTCAGATTCATATCAGCATTGAACAATGTCCAGTTTGGGTGATTCTTCTAACCAGTATATCAACATGTATCTGCAGCCATATTGTTCATTAGGAAATGAAACTACCTACTGCTAAATTCTTCAAAAATCAAGAAAAACTTGAACCAAGACAAGATCTTGCAGCTTCACACTCAAGCCTCTAATTTGAGTAACAGACATGACAGTAAATACACTGTTTTGTCTGTTACAGCACAGGTGCCATAAATGTTATACATTAGCTCAAAAAGTTTCCGAAAGTTTACCCATCTATTAGGCTTTCAAGTTTCTTTTCATTGAACCCTATCTGAGCAAGATTATAGTATACCATGCCAAGATTCTAGAGTTGGTGCTTAACAAATCCATGGAACTAAAAAATACAAATAACTAATGTGAAAGCCATGAGCTACTCTTGTTCATAAGCTCTTATTCTCAGAATGAAGGAGTCATTCGTGTCAAGTGGTCCAACTTTTTTTGCGAGGTTGGTTGCTGCACCCACTGGCATTTGTCATTAAAAATAGTGTACTGGGGGTTATGAGAAATGGATGAATCCGAAATTTCAGCTATCTAGGTCAAACAGTCTTTGAGATATGCTCCTTGAAAGTTTGAGGGGGAATGGGAATTTAACCCATCAAACAAATGCAATATCTCCTGAACTACTTCAGCTAGAAAGATGATTAATAGCTCATTTTAAAGCAAATAGCAAGGCATATATAACTTTTTCTTCAGGTTCTTTCATGCCTTAATTAGAAGGTCACAATTTTATGAAATTAGTGAAATAATAAAATTTTTTACCCTAAAAAATTCACAGTAGTAATGCATGTGACTGGACCAACTTTGGGGAGTCTATCATGCTCTATGAGATTAGTCCTAATATACATATATTTCGTTTTTAAGTCACTTCAAAATTCTGCTATGTGTACTTAAAGTTGCAAATTTTGCCATATTTGTTCAACTTTGACCTTCAATAAATTTTATTTGATTCCAAGTACAGTTATGCTTATCCCATAGAATGATAGATCTCTCAAATCTCTTGTGAGTCATCTAAGTTTGATCACGTTACTTTGAAATCCTGAACATTTAGATTTTTTTCTCAAGATTTTTTGAGTGCAATTCCCCATCAAGCATTTAACCCCATCTTGATCATGTTTGAGCAGGAAAACATATTTTACTCGGCATGGGTTTGACATGGCTTGGGAAACACATATGCGCATTTTAAAAATGTTACATTATTTAATTTTGCATTGAAATTTAAATTATTTCAAATACGAAAATGTAAAAACATTACCCAGCTTTTTCAGATGTACCATCAACAACATCTCTGTATTTCACTGCCTGTTTCTTCTTATGTCTTCTGATATATTCATTACATTTCTAGGTGTAACGTGCAAGAAGCTAGAAAATGCAGAGAATAGAATTTATGGAAATTAATGGAATCCGAAACTGTCACGACCCCCCAAGTCTGGAAACATGCATCCTGTATATGTGAACTGGGACACACCTGAAATATTTGAAAATAATGTACACACAATATTGTGAATATATCATTAGATGGCACTCATTGCTTAGGTAACGTTGAGTTTGCTATTGCTTTAGAAAGATTAAACATATTGAGAAAAATCTGACTTTCTGAAGGAACCTGGGGCATAAATGGGTTATTATTGAAACATATTTGTGCTGGACGTCATAAGTAAATTCATCCAAAACGCTATAATAACAATAAATGTTATTAGATGATATATTCCCAATAAAGTAGCAGTGTGGATGTATTCAAATTTTGGCATGTGTCTCAGCTACTTGCTTTGAAATGAACTATTAATCTTATTTCTAGCTGAAGTAGTTCGGTACATATTGCATTTGTTTGATGGGTCATTTTACCATTCCCTCTGAAACTTTCAAGGAGCGTATCTCAAAGACCGTTTGACCTCGACAGCAGAAATTTTGGATTCATCCATTTCTCATAACCCCCAATACACATGATTTTTAACAGCAAAATCTTAGTTGGTGCAGCAATTACCTTTGGACCACTTGAAATGGAATGACTCAAAGTGAACCTGAGCATTTGTCATCCTTGGTGAAGAGTGGACTTTCACAAGAGTGTTTTAAGAAATTTATTCATCCAACTAGGCAAAAAAATTATCCATTGGATCACGTAGAGGTCTTTGAAATGAGTGCTTAGAGCCTCTGTGCATTAAGATGTGCTCATTATTATTGAAATGTAACTTTTATCCAGATATATGACACTTGAAAGTAACAAACTCTAAGAAAAAAGTTAGGGATATCATAAAATCTCTATGATCTGAGTAAAGTGCACCACTATGATACCATTGCAGTTCTTGAAACAAACAGCCCTGTTTGTTTGTAAAGCACTGGTGACACTGGGGCCCTGAATATGGCTCCCTGTTATTTATTTACTTTTCAGGATACAGGCTTTCAGGAGAACCTCCTTTTTATTGTAGAGCAACACCAATATCCCCAACTTTTTCCTTAGAGTTTACTTGTCAGGCAGATGAGCTAAGCTTTCAAATGATGAATCCCTTGTTTTATTCCCATGAAGAGGTTTTTGTCAGGTCCTCTTTCCATGGATTTGCCCTTTTAGTACTTGGGAATGATGCAGTTCATGATGAATTTTTTCCTAATGTCATATTTCCTTTGAATTTTCAGACTTGGCCAAAGGAAAATGTGAAGAAGTAGGAAGCCATATCAAAGAAGAAGAGGAGTCAAGCTCTGGTGCTACTAGTACCAGTGCTGCAAGTCCCATCATTCCAAGTACAAGTACCAGTGCCTCTGCCTTGGGCTCGGCATCAATGTCATCCAACTTGGTGTATGTGTCCGTTGGAGATGATGGCCCTTCTCCGAGTCCCTTTGATTCGCATTCCGATGAGGATGCATCTGACAGCGAAGAGCAATCTTGAGGTGATCTCATGTCATGGGAGCAAAGTCACTCCCTCTCTTCGTTTTGGACTTGCTTGGATACGAGTACAAGTGCTGCACTGTGCAGTGTCTCACTAGTTCATCATTCATGCTTTTTTGTTCATATCCCTCCATTTCTATTTTGTGTCTTCAGGTCTGGATGCAGGAACATGAAGCTTATGTATTTCTTTAAAAAAAAAAAAGAGAGAGCCAAATTTGATGTGATTTTGATAGCTTTTTTGTGTCATTATGCTAGTTTTTTAAATATCATTATGACTGAGTAAGCACTGAATCATGACTCTGAAGCCCTGGGAAAGTTGTTTTATGTGCTACATGTTTTGAAGTTTATACAAACCCTGCCAAAAAAAAATACTTGTATGTGGTTGGCCCTATTGCTGGCCCAGCTCTTGTGAATTTCAGAAGAAAAAGGTACCTAAAGACAGTAGCAAGCAAGCTGAACTCAAGTTCATCTGAGTTCAAGAACTCATAGCTTTCTTCTTAATCAGAGTTCTTGTTGCTGTCATATTCATCATCAAGGTGAGACTATCTTCATTAGCTCAGTGTTACTGTGATTCCTTTCTGTATCAAGTAGTTGAAGACAAGACACAGGAAGATAGTACATTAGAATACAATATCTTCCTCATTGCACTTAGAAAGCACATGTTTGTGTGGAAAGCAGGTCATTGACTAGGTTTTTTTGTCGAAGGGGTTACTTCATCAAAATTTTGGAAAATGAATCTGTTAGCCTTTTTTTCTCATCTTTTAGATTCCCATGCATTATGGGAAAACAGAAATTCTAAATTTAGCGAACTAAGTTTATTTTTTCCAAGAATTTTGTTGCTAGAACATATTTTTATAATCTCTTACTGCTTTGGCATTGTTGCTTCAATGGGTGGAACCTCAAGACTGCTATGCATCTAAAGTCATCAGTCATGTTGCTATGTGCCACCATATGCATTTTTCCCTGCATTTCTGCATGTTGGATTTTTGAGCCATCGGTGTTCCTGCATCCTGCTGCCTCATGACCAACTCCTTTTTTCTTTTCATCAGATTTAGTTTGAAATATGGCATCAAGTTGATGCTCAGAATGAGTCACCTGAAGAAATGTACATACATATGCAGAGCTGTCTATGGTGACAATATCACTTTGAATCTTCATAGCCTAATGCTATCAAGTATTTAAAGGAAAAAAAGAACAGGATCTACATCCTTCCTGTATGTTGATTTGACAGGAACGAAAAAGTTTCTTCTTTTTGTTTCCTTGCCATGAATGTGAAACATGGAGTTGATTGTGCTCCATGTCATGGAATAAAAAGTTCCTTCTGAAACTCCTACTTCTTGTCAATCTGGAGAGATCCAGAATTTGCATTTTCACATCTACAAGCAAACCATGACATTCATGTAATGGCCCTTTTATTTTGAAGGCCTGCAGAATATAATCACACTTATGGTGTTCTGAAACTGAATGTCTGGCATATCCAGACAATTCATAGGGGCTCAGGGGACTCGAGCTCTTCCCCCCCCCCCCCCCCCCCCCCAAAAAAAAAAAAATAAATATAAGAAAGGCAGGGATCAAGGGTATGGAGAGGTATAAAAGGATATAAAATGAGGTTTTGAACTTTTAGGAAAGAGTTTGGCTTGATAATATGGAACATTTTTGACATGGCATTGAGAGGAACAAAAAATTGGTAGAAGAGTCTCACATGAAGGAATACTTGCAAGAGTACTGTCTGAGCCCCCATATTTCTCGACAAATCGCCGCCTATGCCCAACAAAGCTCTTCAGCTCGGAAGACCAAGAATTTCTCATTCACTAAAAGCCTTTCTTGGTGATTCTTTTAGAGATTAATTGGGGGATAGAATGAGCATTTGTAAGTATCAGGGACCCTTTCGCTACCAGGTTTTTCTAGCCCAGTAGTGCCTGCAGGTTTGAGCTTTTTTGGGGTAAGCACACATAGCAGAACTCAGATTTTTTTTCTATGTGCTAGAAGGGATGTTCAGAAAGTAATGCATGCTGTAGAAAATCTCCTTCACTTGAATAAAAACCAAACATTCTTCATTTTCGTCCCTCGACATACCACCTAGTCAGATACACTTCTCCAATCTTCAAAGCCATTTTTTTGGAAGCTGTTAAAAAAGCAATTTGTGTTATTTTCGGCAAAATCTGTTTAGCTTTTCCAAGCAGGGCTGGCCCTAACTATTTCGGCTCCCTGTGCAAAGAGACTCCCAACGCCCGTCCTTCCTCAACCCCCCTCCGCACACGCACGCACACATTTTGATCAGGATGGGCTTCCACTTCCTCAAGTAAAATTGAGGGTGGCATCTATTATTGCTTCATTCATTCAGACACTTTTTGGCGCCCTGTGCGGGGGCACATACCTGGACTTTATTAAGGCGTTCGATACTGTCGAACATACCATCGTCATTGGAAAACCACCATCACTAGGAACAGACCCGGTACTCAGGAGTCCTTTCTGAGGAAGTCCCGCTCTCGTGTGCGGTCCCTCAAGGGATCGGTTCTAGACCCCTTCTTATTTTCCGTGATGGTGGACGATGACCAAGAAGGAACCTTGTTCAAATATGTGGACGACAAAACCATGATTTGTGGCCACTCAAAAAACGACCCTCCTAATCTCCAGGAAGCCCTAGGTCAAGAGCACGAATGGGCAAAATTAAACTGAATTCTGAAAAGTGCTCATTATTTGTTAAAACGAAATGTTTTATGGGGTAGGGTCGAGTAGTGGACTGGTAGCTACCGCCGACGGATGTTAGTAATCTTCATCACGCGGAGGATCCGCACTACTAAGTTAGTCTGGATTCTACCCTGCGTTGCACTAAGAACATCTTGTCCAAAGCATCCAGACGCATCTTTATGCTGAGAGTCTTGAAAACATACGGAGCCTCCATTCCTGAGGTCCTAGTGAGGACTGCCTACATCCGTCTTGGAGTATGCTCCCCCCCTATGGCACTCATCCCTAACTGCCTCTCAAACCCATTCTCTCGAACTAATTCAGAAGCGTGCCCTGCATCTCATCCTGAGTCCCATAATGAGGAGTATACTCCGACGAGAACGGAGGGAGTTTGAAGGGAGTGACGTCCTTTCCTCTCGATAGGAGTGACGGTTTATACCACGGAGGGAGAACTCTTTAGGACTGGCGGCTGTGCAAGATGGCCCCTATCGGACCTCGACTAACTACAATCTTCGCCACGACTTGACAAAACTCCTGTGCGAAATTAAATGTCGCACGAAACGTTTTTATGACTACTGTTCCCAGTGTGACCAGATTACTAAACAAGGCTGTGTGACCCATCCGGTATCAGTTCCCCATTTTTTGCCATTCTTACCTTTTTCGTATTGGTGCTCCCCCCCCCCTCTCTGTGACCATAATATCCTCATGCTTTTATCTGTTTTTTCTTTCTCCCTATCCTGACCCATTTTTGCTTTTGTACTCGTACCTGTATGCCTGACGCGGGAGATCAATTTGCTTTCGCACTACCCCTCCCATTTGAAATAAACCCTTCATCATCATCATCAATCAAAAGCACGCCGCTGTACGTGTACGGCCATGGTACTGAATGGGTTAATTATGATTTATAAGGCTGCAAGAAAAACTGATTTATCTGCAAAAAAAACATTTAAATTTTCAAGCTTCCGATGGAACAAGAGAAGAGTCAAGTGATCATTCTCCAGATACTCTGATATTCTACATAACCTAAATCCATGAACCACCCTAATATACTCAGTGAAAGGGTAAGGAGTCTCTATATGTGAAACCAATTTTCCATTTCTCTGACTTTTTAGCTAGTAGATCAGTGTTTCTTTCTACCCTTTAATTAAATTGATCTTTGAAACCAAATAATCATTTTGAATAATGTATCTTACATGGACAAGTATTATGAGCATAGTAGTTGTGCACCAAACTTTTTCTGTCTATAGGTACCTCATATCTTAAGATAGGGTGTTATGAAATATCATGTTTTGGTGATCTAGTCACATTCTTCCTCGTTCTCTGCGTGACTTCTCACAATTCGGTTGTTTTATGCATAATTTAATGGAAATTTATACTTTGCAAAGAATTATGCGTGTTTCAGCTATTGAGAATTCATGGTCTCCAGTAAGAAGTAGTAACCTTTGATCTCACGTAGCAGAAGCTACTTTGACCTTTCAAAGCAGTTGCCCCCCTCAGTCCACCTTTCATGTACAGGGTGGGCCAAAAAAAAACTTCGGTAATCTTTATCACTCCATAGCACTAATACCCAAAAGTTTGCTAAAATTGCAATAGCACCTCCGTATAGAACATTCATTCAGCTTTCCAAACAAAATAAAGATTCGTGACATGACTTTCATGCAGTTAGATAAAGAGTGAAAGAGGTGGCGCTGGAAAAGTTGGTGCCATGCTTCGATGACAGCTAGTGCATGCAAGAGGTCGCCTACTCGCCATAACCGAAGGAACGGACGTCACCTGGAGCACATCTTGTAGGGTACTAGTAAGTGCCCTTTTCAAGCGCTACCTCCGTTACACTGTGCCCAACTGCATCGGAATGACGGATTGGATCTTAAATCTTTTTATATCAGTGGAAAGCGAGATAAATGTTCTATATACTGTTAAGCGTTAAAGATAACCGACTTTTTTTTGGCCCTCCCTATAGCACCTTCCAAAATTCCCAATCATCCCAATGGGTACAGCATACTCTTTTGTAAATGCTACCCTTAACCCTTTGCAGTGTTGGACAGTAACGAAGTAAAAGTAACGCATTACAGTAACTAATTACTCTTTTCAGTAACTTTTTTGGTTACATGTTACTTTCAGGGGAAGGTAATGGAACTGGTAACTAGTTCCTTTTTCATGGGAAAATCATGTGGCGTGACTGTAATGTAAAACTTTTCTTCATGATTAATAAATTTTGCTGAAAACAACCAGCGCTTCATGACTACATGCATCCTAATTGATGCAAAATTGGGAGGAAAAGCGGGGACATAAAATTGCCTCGAGAAACCATGCAGGTTTCTTGGCCGTACCTGCAAAAATATTTTGAAGTGCAGGTTAGGGGCGAATTCGAGAGTTCCATTGATGCAGTGGCGCATTTTACGGGGGGGGGGGGGGATAGGGGGGCGGCAGCCCCTCCTTGTGGCTGAGAAGTGCAGGTTAGGGGCGAATTCGAGAGTTCCATTGATGCAGTGGCGCATTTTACGGGGGGGGGGGGGGATAGGGGTGCGGCAGCCACTCCTTGTGGCTGCTGCTGGAACAGAGCCTGGCGCCCCCTTAGAGGCAATACTTGTCTCCCGATATCGCTCGGGTGGGGTTTGGCTCTGTTGCCCTGCCTCCCCTGACCCTTTCAACCGAAATACATTGCTGCATCGATGCAAACTAATGTGGGAAGTGCTCTCTATGTTTCCTGATGGCCAAGGTACTTTCTGTCGCGCGAACTTCAGCATCTAACTTGAGAAAGCATGTCTAGAT